CAAGAGCCTCAAACCGATCATTCAGGAGTTGACGAAGAAGTCTGACCATCTCGTAGGTGGGCAGCCACATGATCTTTTGCTGTCCCTTAGAATCCAGTCGGTAATGGCTCTAGTCCAGCGGTCATCTCCAAATCTCATTATGTGTCCAGCCCATCTGATTTTTGATGCCTTGGCAAACGAGACAGCGTCCCTGATTCTTGATTGTCGATGGAGGTCGGAACTCCGGATTCTTTCTCTCATTTGACTGGAGTGTGATATTCCAAGCATAGCTCTTTCTATTCCTCTTTGAGAGACCCGAATAGCGTCCTCATCCTGTTATCATAGGGCCCAGGTCTCTGAGGCATATATTAATGCAGGAAGAACAGTGGAATCGAAGATATGTGCCGGGAGCCAGAGGTTCTTTGTCCTCTTAGCTATTTCTTCGATGCTTTTGAAGGCATTCCAAGCCACTCCATCCTCCTGCGCAACTCAGGTGCCAGGTTATTCGTCATGTTGACTTCTCGACCTAGATACACATAACTGTTGCATTCAGAGATGTTTGTTCTGTTGAGAGCAAATGGAACATCAGGTATGAGACCATTTCTCATAAACACTGCAGAAGCCAGGAAAAGCATTCACAACGCCTGCCCGTTCTTCGCCAACTACAAGACCAAGATGACTGCCCTCCGAGACCAAGAGCTCCCCTCCGACGTCCTAATGGAACTATCACATCTTCCAGAAGGGCAATGGAGAAGATTTTCCATGACTTCTACTCGGATCTCTTCAATAGCCACATCCACCTGCCCACATACCAAATTCCACAGGATGGATATGTCGTTCCCAAATTTCTCCCTTCCAAAATCTGACACGCCATTTTGTAGGTAAAGAAGCAAACAGCACCCGACCCAGACAAGGTCAGACCCAAACACCTGAAGAACCTGCCATCAGTACTCATCAATACACTGACTCGGCTCTTCACATACTACCTGTCTGAATGCAAGGTTTTGTCCCAATGGAAAACTAGCAGGACTGTACTGCTGTACAATAAGGGAGACATCCAAGGCACTGACAACTATCACCTGATCTGCCTGTTGTCTGTTGTCTACAAGCTGTTCACTCGAGTCATCCTGATTAGGATTGGCAGAACATTAAATGAAGGACAAACATGCAAGCAAGCCGGGTTCCGAAAAGGATTCAGCACAATCAATCATATCCACATAATAACCAAGCTCATTGAGGTTTCTCGGACGTTCAAGATGCCGCTCTGCCTAACGTTCATTGATTTAAAGAAGGCCTTTGATTCTGTTGAGACGGAAGCGGTCATCGAAGCCCTACCCAAACAGGGCATTCAAACTCAATACATCAGGATCCTCCGTGAGCTCTATTACGATTTCACCGCCAGGATCTCACTATTCTACAAGGAAGTGATTATCCATGTCAAGAGAGGGGTTCAGCAGGGTGGTACCATTTCACCGAAATTCTTCAGTGCCACCCTCGAGAACGTCATGCGACAACTGGAATGGGAAGGAATGGGAGTGAAGACAGACGGTCAGCAACTACACAACCTCCTCTTCACTGATGACATCATTCTAATAACATCAAACATTAGCCAAGTGGCACAAATGCTGGCCGACTTCGACCGTGAGTGTGGAAAGGTCAAACTACAGCTGAATCTCATGAAGACTAGGTTATCAGCATACACTTTATCACTGAGTCACATCCCAGCTTTAGCCATTTTATAGATGAAAGTTTATACTTAATTATGGTGAATGGTTTTACTACCATTTTAGTGAGGAAACATCAGGGCACCTGGGGCTCCTCATAGCCACTCTGGACTCTTTCTAGTCCCTACCACATACTCTCTATTAAAATAGAAATGGAGCCATTTACAATGACTCTATATTGGTGTTGTTGGTCATGGCTGAACTGGGTGACAGGCACCTAGGGACCACATTAAAACAACTCTTACATTCTGATCTTCTGAATTTTCTCTAAGTTTTGGCTGTGTTATTTTTTTTTAAGTAGCTCTTTGGAAAGTTGTGTTGGGTTAAGTCAAAACTAATTGCTGAAGTGAGATTTCAGCTCTGCAGAGCTGTCCCTGTGCTGTGGCTCCTCCACGGCCTCCCTTTTCAGGCAGCTCCGAGAAGTCCCTCACGAGACCGTGGGTGCAGGCTGAGCGCACAGCAGGTGGTGTGGCCTGTCGGGGGTGCCGGTCACTTTCAAAAGGTCACAGTGAGCTGCTCTGATTTATTCCAGTCTCTGCTCATCCCAGAATGTGTCTCCTGGGAAGAGGGGATTTCACACCCCCAGGATGCGGGGCTGTCTTGAAAGGTGGCTGCCACCAGCTGTATCTCTTCACCCCGACAGCTGACGAGACCGAGGCTGGGTGGCATAGGACCAGGCTCCCAGACTTTCCAGAGAAAAGCAAAAGGACAGGTAGGCACACTGTCCATCTTCTCCCACCACCGCCAATGACATGCTTTTGGGGTGACAATTTGACAATGCTTAGGCATAATTTCCTTGCTAAAAAGGGGGAAGAAAGGGGCTGTACTAAAAAAGCAGGCAAGCCGGACATACAAAGCTTTCCTGCTGTTACCTATCACTCCCACAAGACAAACACGGGCCACACCTCCCTCAAGTCCCTCCCAAAGAAACAGCCAGAGCCCAGGTTGGGCTGGGAGGAGGACGTGAGGCAGGCAGTGAAAGTGCCAGGAACATTCACCTGTTCCCATGGCAAAGGTCACGGGCTGTGACCATCACCCTCCTGGGATGGGCAACCCTGCAGGCACCTGACAGGAGGGAGGAGCCCTGGAACGGCGGATGGTTGCTAGGGTCTATTTCATTGGTGTTTCCAAAGTCCATGGGGGGGGGGGGGGATCCTGAGGTGAAGTGGGCAGGGGAAGGGGAAGGAGAGACAACTGCCACACCCCAATTAAAGACAAACACATGGGGTCTGGAGGGGGGTTTGGGGGGCAGTGCTGCCAGCAGGTCAAACTGGACCCACGAGGTGAGTATATCAGCAGCCTGATGGAACCTTCAGGCTCCCTGATACCCCAAATGCTGCTGTGCCTCTTGTCAGACTCCAACAACTCAGGATCAAGTTTTCTGAGAAATTAATTGGCCCAAAGTTAGGTATGTGGGGGCCACGCCCACCAACCACCTCCAGCTCAGTTACATATGCTCATTTATTGGCCTTGCTTCGGAGACCTGTAAATAAATCTCAAAAGAGATCAAAAGCTGCAGTTAATCTTGGATCCGCACAAGGCTGAACAGACCAGGGTAAATTCGAGTGGGGCAGTTCAGCCTGGCGCCTGCCCAAGCAGAAACCCAGCTGTTGCTTCCTCACACAATCCAAAATGGCCACCCTGCCTCCGGCCGGACTCCACTGCCTCAGGACGGATCCCACCCAGATATTAACCCGTTGAAAATCCAAGCACGTGGGTTTTGTGACTGAAATCTCCAGGCTTTCTGAGTTGCGATCGGCTACCTCCCCCCACTTCCCAATACTGGAGCACTGGCAGTCACCCCCATGAACCAACTCCAGCTCCACCATGTGAGCTCCACTACTGGCCTTGCCACAGAGACCCATAAATAAATCTTGAAAGAGACAAAAAGTCGCAGTTAATCTTGGATACGTGTATGACTGAAGAGACCAGGGTAAATCGGAATGAGGAAGGTTGGCCTGATGCCTGCCCAAGCAGAGCCCCAGAGGTCACTTGCTGCCACAATCCAAAATCGTTGCCATACCCCCGGCCTGACTCCACTGTCTCAGGAGAGACCTCACCAAAATATAATCGGCTGCAAATTCGGGTATGCGGGTTTTCTGGCTGAAATCTCCAGGCCTTCTTGGAGTTGAAATGGGCTACCCTCCCCCGCCCCACCTCCCTGTACTTCCAGAAGCCTCAGCAGTCACGTCCACACCCCAAAGCTGCCACTCTGTTATAAAAGCTACTACTCCAGTCTTACCGTCCCAATAAAAACACTGAATGCCCTGAAGAAACACAACGACCTCTTAGTACTGCAAAGCATAGTGCACAAAAGGAGAGAAATAAGAAATGTGCCTGCCACAGAGACAGGATGGGTTGTAGAGACGGGAAGTGGGTGTCGGGGATGGTGGGAGGGAAACGTAGGACATTGGTGGTGGGAAAGGTACACTTAGGTGGAGGGATGGGTGTTGGATAATTTTATGACCGAAACCCTATCATGAACAGCTTCGTAATGGTCTATCTCATGAATATTCAATAAAAAAATACCTCCCCCCAAACAAAAGCCCTCAAAGGATCCAGGAGAATGTGAAGTAAAGACAGCTGGAAGCAACAAAAAAATAATCAAACATAAAAACGCATTCGATCCTCCCTCCACACACGGTATTCACTGTTATACTAAAAGTCTGACACCCTGTGTAGTTAAGGGTAGGTTTCCATGAAAACAAACACAAATCCCTATGCAAGTTCTATTTCTTTTTTCACCAAAATTCTTATCATGAAGGTGGGGTTTAGGGGGAAAGGATGTCCACAGGTTAGGGAAAAGAGTTTAAAGCTGACTACCCAGGGTTGAAGAAGTGGCTCCAAGGGCTGAATGCACGCTTCGATGAGAGAGAACTGGGTTAGATCTGTCACCGAGTGGCCCCCACTTGTATAGAACAGAGTAACCCCTGAACACTGCCAGGGGTGCAAAATTCCAAAACCTCTGAGGAACCAAAACCTGTTTTATGCATTACTCAATAAACACCTAAAAATATACACATATCTCCAAACAACCTAAAAAGTAGAGTGAATTCAGTAAGTGCAGAACTGCAAAAAAAGAAATTTGATTGACTGATTGGAAGAAGGTTCTGAGAAGTCCATTTGAGCCCCAAGCAAAATTATAAGCCAGAGTGTAAGTTCTGTGATGTATAAGACAGAGAGAAGAATTTGACTTCGAACCAACTACTACTCTAGTTGTGGAACAGAAAGAAGTTGTCAAAGAACTCAGCTTCTGCTTTCATTGAAACATAAAAAGTGATAATTTAGACAGCTGTGTGGCTAATGGCCAGGGTGACTTTATTTCAGGGAACAACAACAAAAAATAACACACAAAATATAATGATTTTCCTAGACACCACAGTGACTGGCTTATTTCATTTCTGTTTTATCACTTTATATGGAAAAAAAATCAACAGACACACACTAAAACATACCTTGTGGCCCCTTAAATTAGTGAATTTAAAATTAAAAGTGAAGCAATATTTTGTACACTTTGATTGAAACTCTATTTACAAATTAAATTGCACTTATGAAGATAGCAACATTTCTAATAGGTTGCTTTGATTTATTGTGTTTTTTTTCATATCTTGATATAAAATTTAAAATGTTTTCTTCAATACAAATCATACTTTCTTTTTGCAGCACATAATTTATCACCTGAATTTCCAGAACCATTTTTCTCTTGTGCTTCTCTGCTTTATTACATGTTACAAATGGCACATACCTCTTTCAAGAAGATACAATCAACATCGCACTCAATGTAAGAGATTCATTCATAAAGAGTTAATGGGTAAGAAAAAAAAACAGGAAAGAAACATTATCAGTCCAATCCTTTGGTTCATCTTTTTTAAAAAAATGAATTGATAAAATTTACAAATCAGGGGTTAACTTTTCTTTCTGGTAAAAATCAAAACTGACAAGTAGACTGCTGATTAAAATTCAACACTGCTTAAAAAGTACCACATTCCTCAACTTATATCACTGCTTAAGGACTCAACCAGGTACAACTGTATTGACATGACAACAGGATACAGTAAGGCACAAGCGGATGGTACAAATAAAAACAAATACTTTAGGACTGGTGTGTTCCTTTTCTGCACAAATGCTAAAATATGTACCGTTTTCAAGATAAAATAACAACAAAAGACATTTTTGAAGGGGTTATGAAACTATCTATACAAAAAATTTTTTAATTTATACCATCTGAGCTGCCAAAAAAGGGTTTTAGAAAGTACTGACTTTTCCCCAGACATAAAACTTTCATCAATAGGTCCAAGAGACTTGGGTTCAGGACGTTCCAGCATTCGAGCTCTCTCCCTTACCCAATGTAAGACAAAGCGAAGGTCATACGATTACAGTAGTGCACGCTACTTCTCACCATCAGCTGCCGTTCAGAAGGTGCCCAGGGCACCTGGTGAGCCCTGGTGTGCCGCCCAGCGGGGCCCAGGGAGGAAGGCACTTCCACAGAGAGCGTGGACCGCACCCTGTGGCACCAGGCAAGGCTGACAGGTTCTGCCTGCCCGAGGCTCCTCCACAGCAGGGAAGACACGGGAGGTAAGACTGGAACGGAGAAACGCTACACGGATGTGGTCACTCGGTCAATGGCGTGATTGACCTCGTTTTTGTTGGAATCCAGTCCTTTAGCAGCATTCATGTCGTTCCGCAAATTCTCCACTGTCTTTTTCATGTTCTTTAACTCCCCCGGGTGTGGTGTCGCTCGCCTCAGAAGTGTCCTCTAAAAAAAAAACAGACAGTGGAATGAGTGGCCAGGGTTAGCTCCCTCCCTCTTTCACATGAGTAGTTGATGGCCAGGGCCTTCCCCTGTACATCTCCCCTTACCCCAGATCAGAGTTGGGGAGAAAGCTGCCCTGGGACCCCACACGCGGGCCAGTTGCTTATGGAGGATGAAAGTGTTGCCTACAAGTGATCTGGTGGGGATAATAGGGCCACTTTTGGAACATTTAAAAATGTTTGAGATGGTAAAGGTAAAAGGTAAAGGCCCTCCCGTTGATCGTCGATTTGCTCGAGCGGGCCCAGTAACGTCTCCATTGGAGACTTTGTTGTTACTGTGTCTGGCATATCGAATACTCTCGGTAGCTTGCCGGGCTCTCCGAGAGGGGCGGAGGAATCGAACTCGGGTCGGCTATGTTGGCCGCTTGTACGCCCTACCCACTGTTCAAGTTCCGTTGTTTGAACAGCAGGGGGAAAAAAAAAACACAAAAACCTTTCTAAGGCATGGGATGTGGAGGAAGAAAAATATAATGGGGGGAAAAAACTTAATTAAAGTCATTGTGATGTTCTACTACTACCCCAAGTGGTTTTGACTTTCTTCAACCCTGAGGCACTAGGAGATGAAGAGAAGAGGAAGTCAGAGTGATTTTCTTATTTGGCTGCTGTCTGTGCTACTTATGGATTAATCAAGACAGTTCACATTCTCCTAAGAAAGACACAGTGCTGGAAGTAACTGGCTATAGTCAATTATTAATTGGAGGTGGTCTTAGGGATAAAACCCAGGAACTCAGACGTGCAAAGCATGTGTTCTACTAGTGACTCACATCCCTGGCCATGGCAATTACGTGTTATGTAACATGTTACATGCTTATCTACCATGAAATAACACTGACATCTTCTAAATTGTAAGTCTACGAATTTCACAAGAAGCTAAAGCAGGTCAACAAAACACTATGAGAGCAACTCAAGAGGCAATGAAGTGACTGGTGATAGAATCCCATCCCAGCAAGTCAGGAGGTCGGCATTAAGAGTTTAAGTCACTTGGTCATGCCTGATTCCCATTTTCACTCCACTCTGTAAAAGCACATGTACCCTGTTAGATAATCTCCTGTATGGTGATAGCTGGAATAACAATGACTACAGACAAGAATTTAAAACCCACCTCTGTGGTCTGAGAGCTGCAAAGGCTCCCTCTAAATCCCATTTATGACACATTCGACTAAGTCAAGGAGCTTGAAGAAGCCAAAATCAGCTTGTGGGAGGACTTGAAGGATTTCCTCTGAATCCTAGAGAGGTTGGATAGCTGAGGGACACTTTCGAGTGTGGGTGAGAATGTGAGGTGGGGCAGTTTTTTCACATCTTAGTCCTCACTACTGAATTACAACCTGGAAAGTGGACTGCCAAAGACCACGGCCCACAGTGGGATGATGATGGTGTCCTGGTTTCATGGAGGAGAAAATCCAGGTTTAACAGAAGGCAAGTCCATGAAGGAATGTCTAAGGTGGCAATAGTGATATGAGGGTGGTGGTGGCAGAGGACAGAGTTTATGATGAACAGCAAAATGTAAAAAAAAAAAAAATCCCACAAATATCTGTTATTATTAAGAAAACAGTGGGGGGAAGGGACACCCCCCCCCCCCGTGGGGTTCTTGGAGGCCCTGGGCCCTCCATATCACTGGCCCATCAGGCAGCCTCAGTCTGGCCAAGCACTGCCGCGTGACCTTTGAGCTTCTGAGCACTGTTTTGGAGGTAAAAAGAAAAAGAACTGAGTGAATGTGTGGTGAGCCATCAGCTTCACACTCAGGAGTCCCCTGGTGAAGGGGGAGAAATAAAAATAGAAAACGGTGGAGGTGGACCTATCACACATATACAACAAACAAGAGATTTTTTAAAAAATGAATCATAGAAAAAAATTTTAAAAAAATTGAAAGTAGAAGGCAAACATGAAATAGAACATTAAAGGCATCTATACATGATGCCTATTTTTAGTCAAAACTGATTTTAGTTTTGAATTCACATAAAGGCCAAGAGCCTCCTCCACTACCGTTTCATTGTCCTCGTCCTCCTTCTCATCTTCCAAGAACCGGATGGCGCTGACTCTGTGCACGGCACGCTCGTTCCAGGCCTCGTCGGAGACGTCACTCACCAGGTTCTCCAGCGCCCCACAGCGGGGCAAGTTCTCTGTGGGGAGGAGATCTCGGTCAACAGAAGCCTCGGCCAACCTGAATAGTTGCTGCATTTCCAGAGGGAAATCACAGGTGTGATCCCACAAGCAGAGGCCCAACTGCTCAGTCTTGGCTTTATAAAACAAACTCCAGGGGGCCCAAATGATAGTGCAGCAGGGAGGGCACTTGCCTTGCATGTAGCTGACCCAGGTTGGAGCCCTGGCATCCCCTATGGTCCCTCAAGCACCACCAGGAGGAACCTCTCAGTATCTCTGGGCATGGCCCAAAACCTGAGCTGAAAAAAATCTCAAAACAGGCCCTGGGGCCTGGGTTTACCTATGTTTTCAATAAAGTCTAATTTCATTTGAAGATTGTATAAAGTACGTGCTACTTGTATGTGTGCAACATGTCACTGTCACTTGGAAAGTCTTTCTTCTACCCTATGACTCCTGGTCCTCATGGGGTACTCATGCTGAATCAGGGACTTTTCTCAGGATCAAATTCGACCACTTTGTTCTCTGGGGTCTTAAATACTCATGGGCCAAAGCGTGCAGCGAACTGTGGCCTTAGCAAACCCCCGCAGTTTTTTCATCAAAACCTGCTCTCAGGGGCTGGAGCAATAGCACAGCAGGTAGGGCGTTTGCCTTGCACGTGGCCGACCTGAGTTCGATTCCCAGCATCCCATACGGTCCCCTGAGCACTGCCAGGAGTAATTCCTGAGTGCAGAGCCAGGAATAACCCCTGTGCATTGCCAGGTGTGACCCAAAAAGCAAAAAAAAAAAAAAAAAAAAAAAAACCAAACAAACAAACAAAAAAAAAACCCTGCAACCTGCTCTTAGCACAAGACTTAAGGTAAAACAGTCTGATGTTATACTGTTATCACTATTTTTACTTTTAGGCCATACTCAGTGGTGCTCAGGGCTTATTCCTGGCTCAGTGCTCAGGGATTACTCCTGTAGGGGCCGGGGGCAGGGGTGGGGATCATGTGGACAGCTAGGGATCAAACATGGGTGAACCGAGTTCAAAAGCAAGTACCCTGCCCACTGTACTAACTCTCTAGCCTCTGTGTGTGTGTATGTTGTGTGTGTGTGTGTGTTAAATATATATGATAATGAGTAAATGTATAATGATTCAAAAGAACTCACTGGCTTAAAAACAGTTTGCCTGTGGTGTCCCACACGAGTCCTCAAAATTATCAGTCTGGATTTTACGAGACTATATTTTCAGGAGTCAATGTGCATTTTCAGCTTTAGTTCTGACCCCAAGCCAAAAGTCTACCGAAGAAACTTCAAACATGGATGCGGACGCACTTAATCCCAGAGGAGACCCACTGCCAGCTCACCCAGGGTGGTGGTTTTCAGCGTGGATTGGATACACGGCAATGGCCTTGAGGAGCGAGTTTATGGATAGAAACTAGCTCCTACTAATTCTCCAAGTTAAAAATTCACCTGGGCAGGTAGGTTCAGAAGGCAGCTGAGGAAGTAAGACGCAGGTTAGGATCTTTTCTCCTGTGGTCTGGTCTGTGTCCATCTGGAACGTAAGCAGAGGCTGCGACTGGTTGTCAGATAACCACAGAGCCTTCAGCTTCAACGTGGTCAGGGACAGAGGCAAATGCAACAACCTAAGTGAAAACAGGAGACACCGGATCTCAGCGGACATCATTGAGTCAAGAAGAAATTCGACCTCCTGAGACTGGATTCAGTAAAAAGACACCACTCTGACACTGCAACCTGGGGTTCTTCTCTCGTTGACACTTAGGTGGGGCTCTGCTCTGCTCTTTGCTGTCCCTTGTCTCTCCCATTGGGACCTCCAGGCCACAGAGCAAAATATGAAGGAACAATACAGCACACTGCTTTTGTCCTGGTCTAAGAGATCTCAATGTAAAGGAGAAAGCTGGGCGAGAGGGCGGTCGTGCGGTCAGCATCTTTAGGGAAGAACTGGAAGACCTGAGTCCTGCCCGCTTCAGAGGCAAAGGCCTCCCTGGCTTTAGGGCTGCAGAAGTCACAGGATCAACTATTGTTTCCGGTGGCATCTTTGGGACAGGAGGAAGGCGCTGCCTGAGACGTTGAAGAGTTTAAGTCGTGGTGGAAAATAACGTTTTGTATTTATTTTTCATGGATTCCCTGTGCATTCTCAGGGGAGATTATTTTAGGCATCCTACTTTAAACCTTTATCTTTCAGTTTCAAGGTGCTCCCATTTCATCTCCTATGTGATAACTGATATTAATATCAGGTTGTTTCCCTTTCAAATGAGATGCCACGTGTTAAAAGCCCTAAAAGAATTACAATATGACACCTCAAGAGTAGGGTTCTTGGTATTGTTTTTGCTTGCACAAATATCCAACAATTGGCAGCAACCGCCTATCATATAAATAGCACTCAGGTAATTGGGACTTTGCCAAAGATTAATCTAATACAGTCATTTTCAACAAGGGGCAATTTTGCCCCAAGTGGAACATCTGGCAATGTTTTTAAACACCTTTGGGGTGAGGGGAGCCCTGCTGATATCTAATGATTAGAGGTCACAGATGTTGCTAGGCAGTGCTCTACAAGGCATGGGATAATTCTACGAAAAAATAAGTATGTTGGGGGCCGGAGATGGTACAGTGGGGAGGTGTTTGCCTTGCAAGTAGCCAACTTGGGTTTGACCCCAGCATCCCATATAGTACCCTGAGCACTACCAGGAGTGATTCTGAGTGCAGAGTCAGGAATAAGTCCTGACACTGCCAGTGTGGCTTCCCCTCAAAACTATGCAGCCACAAATATTAACACTGCCAAGACAAAAACACTGTTTTAATGAAAACCAATGCTCTACACAAATAAAGTTTACTTTGAAAACCACCAAACCCCAGAGATTCCAGGAGTTGAGGGTTTGAAGAGTTCAAAGTTCTGTTTATTCAAGTATTTTTACTTTAAGGATGACTCGCAGCAAAATGACTTCAGAGGCGAGATAACCGTCACCTTTTGTTAACTACAACATGAGACATACTTCCTTACATATCTGGCCCATTTATTCCAGAAGAGATTATACGACAGCATGGACTCTTGGGTTTATTTCCTTCATAAAATGGTATACCCACCTCTGCTCAAGGCATGTGGGAAGCCTATGCATAATTCACCCACAGATTAATCTGGCATTATCAGAATTGTATACCATTTTATATGGACAGACTTTTGGAAACTAAGTTAGATTTTTACATAGAGATATGAAGAGGGACAGGAGTACTAAATAGTAAAATTAATCTGAGTAAAATGTAAGCACAAAGTGCTTAAGTTTATTTTAAAGACGTAAAAGGGTAATAAAATCAGCACAGAGCATAACAACAAACACATTATCAACAAGCTTCTCAGAACCTTCCTGTAGTGCAAAATAATTGTCATGCGTTAGTTTCGGAAATGAGGACCTGTTTTTCTGCTCCTCACAATCAGCCCAGTAAAAGGTCTGTTGGTCCCACACAAGCACTGGACAGAGCAGAGGGCAGGAGTCGGGGTTAGGTCCTAAAGAAACTGCAAAGATGTCTTTAGACAAACACCTGGGGTCACCGCTAAACTTATTATGACAGCCAAGATATGGAAACAACCCAAACACCTAACTACAGACAAACAGTCGAGAAGTTGTGGTATATATGCACAAAGAAACACTGCATTAAGGAAGAACAAGATCACACAATTTGCCACGGAGTGGATGGAACTAGAGAAGACGATGCTGAGTGAAGACAGTCAGAAGGAAAGGGACAGATACACAACAATCTCTCTTCTACGTGGGACTTAAAGACACACACCAAGGTACCAACAAAGGGCCAGAGGCAACACAATGGAAGATCAGATTTACACAAGGGAGGTGGGGAGGGCTCAAGAAGGGAAGAGTCCTGGGGTGCTTGGGAGAGGGAGGGGGCACAGGTGATGGGTGTGGTGTTGGAATCCTGTGCATGGGGAATCATTGATAGCATTGTAAACCAAAGAATCTCAAAAATAAACAAATTCTACGCAATGAGAATTGTATGTGCTTGAGTCCCTGTGAAAAAGAATTGATACTAAGGTGTTTCACTGAGTCATATTAGGGGAGAAATATGCATTTTTTTAACCCCTAGCATCCATTTCATATGTGACAGCTTACCACGAAAAGGACCATGCAATGGGCCTGTGGGGACAGATGACTTCCAATTCCCCTGATTCTGCAGCAGCAGTTCCTTCAGTGGGAAAGAAATGGAGACCTCCTGTGCTTATACAAACAATTGTTTCTCCCACTGGCCTCCAGTCTCTCATACAGAGGCCCAAAAGCAAAGAAGTGGATGTATTAAGTCAAGCACTGAATGCTGTTCTTTAGAGAAATATCTATAGGGACCAGAAAGATAGTGGAGGGGTTAAGATACTTGACTTAACTTTAAGGCACTTACCTGATTTTCTCCCATACATTGCACATGTTCCCAAGCACACCAGGAGGGACCCCCGAGCACAGAGCCAGGAGTAGTTTCTAAGCATGACCAGGCTGTGGTCCAACCCCATCCCCCCCAAAAAAAAAATCCCAACAAAACAGGGGAAACTACCTGTAACATACCACACTATTAAATCTTCAAGCACACTGCCTTTTTATTTTACTGACCAAAAGGACCATTTCTCTGGAAAGCAGGTTATTTCTGTCTTAAAGTAATTTAACCTAACATTCACCAGAATGTTAGTTTCAAGTCTTACATAAGTAATCTACAACCAGAATTCCTATTTTTCTTAGTCACAAAGGCATAAGGAAAAAAACATCTAGATTTCAAAACTGGCACAAATTAGAGAGACTCAAACATAGTCAAACTAACTTCTCCAACTAATACTGGCTTCCCAGACAAGAGCTAAAGCCAACGTATAAGGCTAAATGGACCATCCATAACAATTAACAACTTCTAAAGATTACAAATTGTATGGTAACAGCAAAAATAAGTGACCAGGTTCTACAATGGTCTTATATTCACAATAACTAAGTCATGCAACAATAATGAATTGTCTATAACACCTCTAGTCTGAGAAGTAAGATGGTCAGCCTTAACCACCATGTACACACACACACACACACACACACACACACACACACACACACACCCCTCTGCTTCTCTTTGGTGAACCATCCCGCCCACACTCCAATTAGCCTCCACTCCAAAGAATATTCCTGCTTTCCAGAGTGAATGATATCATTTCAGTGTATTCTGTAACCTTTTGTACCCAACAGCATCAACACAAGAAACCAATCTCATCTGTTCACATTTTCCTGTTCTGCTGGAGGCCATGTTCCCCCCAAATAGAAAGTCTATGGTTGCCATTTCCATCAGTGAAGTGGCATAAGAACTAAAACTGTAGCACTGTAGCCCTGTCCTCCTGTTGTTTATAGATTTGCTCGAGTGGGCACCAGTAACATCTCCATCGTGAGACTTGTTACTGTTTTTTGGCATATCCAATTCACCACCAGGAGCTTGCCAGGCTCTGCCGTGCGGGCGGGATAGAGTGGATACTCTTGGTAGCTTGCCAGGCTCTCCAAGAGGGATGGAGGACTCGAACCCTGGTCGACCACGTGCAAGGCAAATGCCCTACCCGCTGTGCTATCGCTCCAGCCCAAGAACTAAAACAAAGGAATTAATACAAACCATGAACCTCTTATACCTACTATTGCCTATGACCTGCCAGGTCCCAAACAACCTTCCCCACCACTGAACTACCGTAGCAACTACAATGTCAAGTTTGTTCAACTCCTAAAAACAATATGGAAAGTATCATGCTAAGCGAAATGAGTCAGAAAGAGAGGGATAGACATAGAAAGATTGCATTCATCTGGGGGATATAAAGTAACAAAGTATGAGATTAATACCCAAGAATAGCTGAGATCAGCACCAGGAGGATTACTCCATAACTTAGAGGCCAGCCGGGTATCCTAGAGGAAAGGGCTATTCAGATAGAGAAGGGAGCACCAAATAAAGGATGTTTGGAGGATCCTCCCAGGAGGGGAGATGCATGTCGAAAGTAGACTATGGACTGAACATGTTTGCCACTCAATGCCTCTTTTGCAGACCACAACACCCAAAAGGAGAGAGAGAACACAGGGGATTGCCCTGCCACAGAGACGGGGAGATGGGGGTTGGGGGTGGGAGGGATATTATCCATGGTGGTGGAAAATGGGCACTGGTGGAGGGATGGGTATCTGATCATTGTATAATTGAAACCAAAGCACAAAAAATTGTAAATCTACAACTTTAAAAAAAATAAAATAAAATAAAGGGAAAAAAAAAAAACAATCGAATTAATAGTAACTATTATTGCATAATTGATTCTGGTTTCGCCAACTAGATTCTAGTTGCAAACCCAACTCCAAACTTTTCAAAAATGTTTCAAGTTCTAAATATTTACAGAACATAATCTGTGAAAAAAAATTCAACATTACTAATGTAGCAAAAGGGACAAATTCCTTTACTGTCAATTTTCTACTTCTTTATGGGAACCACTTTTAACATTTGGGTGTTTTTGATGAGTCTGAAAACAACACTGAGAACAGTATGTACTAGCTCTTTTCACAGAGGCGCTCATTCTTTAACTGTATGACAACACGTTTGTGTTGCATTTTATCCTTTAATATCTAATTTCCCTCCCCCCCTTGAGAGAAAACTGACATCTAATATTGGGGATGTTTAAGATATCCAATGCAATGATCTATGCTTTTACCGCAAAATGATTACTAGAACAGGGTTCATCACCTCACAGAACTACCTTTTTTGAGTGAAAACATTTAAAACTCGTCTCTGTCAGAGATTTCCAGTGTATACCCTTCTCTTTCCCTTCTGCCCAGCTTTTGTCTTTGTTACGGCAGTGACCAGTGACCACACATATGCTTGGCCAGAGTACTCTCCCATCTACATGTTCTGTGGGGTCTCAAACAGGGATTCTAAAACCTCATTTCCTTAGGCTGGCAACCACAATCTGTTCTGTTTCTAAGTCTTATTTTTGTTTTCAGGTTCTACAGATAAGTGAAATCTTAGTCTTCCTCTGTTTGACTTAGTCCACTTCATGTCTCAAGATTCATCCACGATGTTGAAAATGAAAGAACATCATTTCCTTTGAAAAACAGGGGCTGGAGTGATAATACAGCAGTAAGACACTTGACTTAGATGTGGCCAATCTGGCTTTGGTCCCGGGAACCCCACATTGTCCCCGACCCTAGCCTGGCAGAAGTAATCTTTGAGCACAAAGTCAGGAGTAAGCCCTGAACACTGTTGGGGCTGACACAGAGAAAGAAAACAAATAAGCTAAAGAGAAAAACTAACTGAACTGTCGAATCATATGGCATAGTCCCATTTTTTAAAATTTCTTGGGATGCCGCCATGCTGTTTTCCATGGTGGCTGTACCAATATACATTTTCACTGACAATAACACAAGAATTTCGTCTTCTCCATCTTCTCCACATCCTTGCCAATATATACCACCTCTTGCTTTGGTTTTAGCGACAGGGTAAGTAATAAGCACTGTAATAGGTATGAGGTAGTATCAACATTTTTAACGGTAAGAATCAAAGGTATAAACTTCTTCATTGGAAGTCATTTTTTTCTAAGTATTGGTTCAATTCGTACTACAAAGAAGATTCTCATATAATCAAATTTAACTGGTGGGTACTCCTACGGGAGAGTTGAAAAACTAAGGTAATGTATCCTTCTGTACCTTCTCTGCCACTGTCACAAAAGGCTTGGGCTTAGTTTCTCATTACATTTTATAGTTCTATCCATGCTATACCTTAATGTGTTATACTTATACAAAGCAAAATATTCAGAAACTAAAATTTAGTATCCCTTCTATCATCTGCTAGTTTTATATGCTTGAGAAAAGAGGCAGAAACTTCTGTGCAAAAGGGTATGATTTCCCATGGTATGGCATTTTTGTAGGCCAAAAGGCTGACACAGTAGCTTTTTTTTTATTAGTTTCTATGTTGATACTTTAAATAAGTAGTGATTAAATATTTTAATAGCCTTATATTTGGTTATGAATCTATATATACCTAGAATAAATGATACACTTGGCTGACTCAGATGACAGCTATGTAACAAATTTTTTAACTGGGTTTTCTCCACTCCAAACCAAGCATATTAAAGTCCAACGTTCCCTTCTTTTGAGAGACTTGGAGCATGAGGTCTTTCATGTGGAAAACATGTGGACAACAGAGCCATCTTTCTACTCAGCAAACTGTGATGTAAATTCCTATTCACCAGGATGGCAAGAACCAGGGATTAAAGTAATAGAAGGGCCAGAAGGATCAGCCCACAGTTTGGAAGCCTACCTCATGTGCTGGGGGAGAAGGCAGTTGGGACGGAGAAGGGACCACTGAGTCAATGATGGCTGGAGGGATTTCTCAGGATGGGAGATGTGTGCCCACTCAGTATCTGTATTGCAAACTATGAAGCCCCAAAGTAGAGAGAAAGAAGGAAGGTGCCTGCTACAGAGACAGGGGGTGGGATGGCAGGAGGGTTACTGGGGACACTGGTGGTAGAAAATGTACACTGGTGGAGGGATGAGTGCTTAATCATTGTACGAATGAAACTCAATCATGAAAGCTTTGTAACTTTATCTTATGGTGATTCAATCAAAAAACTTGAAAAAAAAACAGACAAAACCCCAAAGAGTCAAGAAGTCATATTAGGATTAGCTTTAAAAAGATGGGCACTCCCAAAAGCCAGCACTCATCCCAATGCCGGCTAACCACTGCCATTTCTTTAGCAGTGCTGCCTGCAATCCATCAGCAAAAATAACAACCAGGGGCTTGGTGTCTGACCTAGGTCCCAGCACTCTTTAGATTGGTGCCATTTACCATTTAAAATCATTGCACCCCTTTCCCCGGCTGAGCACGACTTCTAACTGTCTCGCATTCAAAAGCAATTATTTTAATTCCCTGTGGAAATGAATCCGTGACCTGAGCTACCTCACAGTAGTTTGCTTTACATTTTGTGAAACAATAACTTTTAACATTTTCCTTCAGTGGGAAACTACTTATCAAGGCATTTATCACATGCTGGGCACAGTGAAGGCACCAACAGTCCCAGGACACATAAAACATAATGACTAATTTGAGGAAACTTTTAGTGGGTGTGTGTGTGTGTGTGTGTGTGTGTGTGTGTGTGTGTGTGTGTGTGTGTGTGTGGTGGGTGGATGGGAGGTGGCGTATGTACCTGTAACTAGGGCAGTTATCATCTGGGGCTGGAATCCCTACGTTTGGGGAGATTTTACAGAGAGACTCAGAAAAAAAGGCAGCTTCTAGGGATGAATACAAGCCTGAGAGACAGTACAGTGGGTCAGGTACTGTGCACACGGCTAACACTGGCCTGAATCCCTGAGCACAGAGCCATGAGCAAATCCTGGGCATAGGCAGGTGTGGTGTGATCCAGTCTCATTCCCACACCCTCCACCTGGAAAAAAAAAAGAGCACAAGTAAAGAAAAAAAAGTAGGGTGATAGAGAAGAGGCTCCAATGTGAAAGAAATAAAGCTTGAAGAGAAAAAAAATTTTTGGACTGTGTCTCACTTGGCAATTCATAACTACACTTGGGAGGGAAGTTTTTAAAGTCCCAAGAGGCTCAGGGTCACTGCTAAAGCCCATTGAGATTCCTCATTAAAATCTAGCTTCAGCTCATTCAGGCTCTTTTTGTCAATGAGGAAACGAAGGCACATGAGATGACTAAGCAAAAACCAGTTATGAAAGCTACGATAACATGGGTCTCCTGGTTCTTTTTACACTCCTGTCCGGCTGTTCTGGGAAGCATTTCACAGGAATATCAACTTAGAGTCTGTCCATCTGAGCAACTTAAAGATACATAGCAAGATGGCAACAAAGATCCGCAGGCAACATAATGGGAGACCTGATTCCCATCACTGAGCTGGAGGGGTGGGTTTAAGAGGAATGTTGGGAACAATATAAAGTAAATCTGTCATGTGACTAAGGAGACAGGTTGGGGTTGGAGTTGGGAGAGAAACTGGGGACACTGGTGGAGGGAAGGTAACACTGGTGGTGTTAGAAGGCTAAATGTCTGAAACAACTGTATTACGAACAACTTTGTAAATCATGGTGTATTGATAAAAATAAAAATTTAAATTATAAATCCATAAAGGCGAAGCAAGTTTGGACAAACTTGCAGGCTATCGAATGTAGCCTGCCCACACGGCAGAGTCTGGCAAACTCCCCGTGGCGTACCAAATATGCCAAATACCAGTAACAATGATGGGTCTCATTCTCCTAAAGAGCCTTGAATATAATCTCAGGGCCAGGATGAAGGAGACGTTACTGGGGCCTGCTCGAGGCAATCGACGAATAACAGGATGATGAATGATGAATGAATGAAAGGCGAAGCAATGATTCAGTAGTGGGTAAAATCATTTTCTCAAATTCATGCATGCAGAAATGAAACATTTGAAGCCAAGCATCCTTGTTCCAGACCACACTGGGGTGTTCTTCTTGACCCTCTTTTCTCAGCCTTCTTAAGGGGATTTGGTACTTCTGGAATAGTATTTTTAGATCTGCATGAGGAAGTCCTGTCTCCACCCTTTACCTAAGAATGGGTCAAGATTTTCCTAGTTTTTCCAGAGAAGCAGAAGGAGCACTTCCTCTCAATTCAGATGTTGGCCCCTATATACCTGATATTCAAAATATGTTATTTTTCTCATGTCTGTGAGAGTACCACACATAAACTATAATAATAAAGTTTTTAATAATTAAAAAAAAAGGAGTACTGAGTCCTTGGGAGAGGGAAGTGGGTACACTGGAGATGGGTGTGGTGCTGGAATCAAGTGCATGAAAAAACATTATTAACATGGTACACCAAAGAATCTCAATCAGTAAAATTAAAAAATATGTTAATAGCATGGCTTTCTAAACTGCGGATCACAGAACTGAATGTGGGGGGTCCTGAAAAAAAATCTTGCAATATTAAAAGATTTCTAAACATACAATTGAGCACAACAAATTCAAAATCAAATATGTAATGAATCCAAGATGTTTCTCATCCATATAACAAGTCACATGGTTTTGGGCTTTTTTTTTCCCCTTTTCTTTTCTTTTTTTTTTTTTTTTGAACAAAAGGGTCCCCAGGTGGTGAAAGTTTAAGAAGTCCTGCTGCAGGGCATGGTCCCAGGTATCTGCTCCCCTCAGGCTCACTCACTGCAACAGTGAGCTTGGGGGTTCCCTGAGGCCTGGGCAGCTCCACTGATCAATACACTCTTCAACACGGAGCAGAGGAAAGACGATGAAGCAGCAGAGCATGTGAGCATGAAGAGGCACTTGTTCCTCATGAGCAAAGCAAACAGGAACATGCTTACCTGTTCCCTGCCACGTCCAGGACGTGAAGCTCCATTGCCTGTGAGAGCTCTGCGGGGATCCGGGTGAGTCTGTTGTCACGAACGCAGAACACAGTCAGGCTGCAGCAACCGCCGATCTACAGTGGGGAAGAAAAGGCGTTGTTTGAACAGCTTCTGTTCGATTAGGTAAGTTCACGCTCCTTTGACAAATGCAAGCTCTGTTCCATTCTTATCAAGAATTGTCATGCCCACTGTCGCTGTCCTCCTGCTGTTCATCAGTTTGCTCGAGCGGGAAGCAGTAACGTCTCCACTGTGAGACTTGTTGTTACTGTGTTTGGCATATCCAATCCGCCATGGGGACCTTGCCAGGCTCTGCTGTGCAGGCAGGATACTCTTGGTAGCTTGCTAGGCTCTCCGAGGGGGATGGAGGAATAGAACCCGGGTCGGCCACGTTCAAGGCAAATGCCCTACCCGCTGTGCTATCGATCCAGCCCTTATCAAACATTAAATATGGCAAACACACGCTGATCTCAGTTATGACCTGCTCGTGAAAGTACACAACTCACATCTCAGTCCTTGCCATAGTTGATATTATTATTAAAGCAGGTAATTAAAGGAAATTGAGCTATTTGTATGGAAGGAAGAAGGAAGAAAGAGGAGGGAGGAACAGGATGAAGGAGAAGGGGGAGGAGGAGGAAGGAGGAGGGGAGAGGGGAGAGGAGGGGAGGAGGAAAAACAGAAGGAGGAGGAGGAGAAAGTGGAAAAGGAAGAGGAGGAAGAGGAAGAGGAAGAGGAAGAGGAAGAGGAGGAGAAGGAAGGGAAGAAGGAGGAGAAGGAGGAGGAGGCGAAAGAGGAGGAGGAGGAGAAGGAGGACAAGAAAAAAGAAGAAAGAAGAACAACAACAAGAATTCAGTGATTCTCAAATAAGCTGGCAGTTGTTTTTACAAAGGGAACCTAACCAGGAGAGTAGAAAAATAACTCGATCCCAGACACAACCTTCTGCAGGACTCCACACAGGACTGTATTCTTCTTAGACTCGCCATCCTCACTAAAATCAAAGACTGGCACAGCTCGCGAAGGAAACTATGAGGTCTCTGTGACACACGGAAAAATACTCCAGAGGCTCCCAGTTAGGGACTTGAATTCCCAATGATATCTGCATGTATTTTCTGCCCTTTCCTATTTACGTGTGTTTAATGAGTATATCACATCTTTAAAAGCAGAAGGCATAATCATGAAATTGCAATGCAGTTATCTTCATGGGAAAGTTTGTGAGAATTAATGTAAAGGTTCTGTCCGTCAGAATTAATACAAAGATTCCGAAGTAATATATTTCACTGCAGTATTTACCCATGATGGACGGTCAATAAAAGTAAGCAAGCATGAAGCCACAAACTCACATCCATCTCCAGCCATCTGGAAAACTTTCAGATATGTAGAAAGGAGTTTAGATGGTACCTTTTATTTCTTTGTGTAGACATTTTTATCCAATAAAACTGGTTAATTCACTCAAGGTACAAAATTGCTTGAACTTTTGGATTCTCTTTCCATTTGTATTTGGGCCACTCCTGGTGGTACCCAGGGTCCACTCCTGGTGCAAGGCTTGGGGGGTCACTGCTGGTATTGTGAAGGGAAATGTGATGCAAGGGATGGAATCAGGCCCCCTGGCTAATGCCTGCACTCCAGCCCTTTGTATTATTACTCCTGCCCCAAAAGCACTATTTCTTACAGAAATGCCTTTCTGCTGTCTTTCTCAAGTTTGTCAATCACACTGGTATTAACTAAACATTCTCTAAACTATAAAATATTCCGTAACTGTCTAATAGCACAAACTATCATGTGAGGGATTCTAAGATGGCCTAACTTAACACATAACTTCATATAATCAGGGTGCTTGTCATGCAGAGTGTACATCCTATGTACTTACACGAGAAGCCTACATACCAACCAATATTTTTCTCAGGTAAGTATGTTTATATACACGACATACATTCGTTTACTGATGAAAGGTAACTACTTATCATGTGCTTATATGTATAGTAAGGGGGAAAATTTTCTTCTAGAGGAATCTTTAGAATAGGTTTTCATGTCTTGTCAACATGAGGCCTCAATTCATGTCCTAAGAGCATTCTGCAACAGAAACTTGTGTGGGGTGTAGCATTTCTCCCTTTCCCAAGGAAGATAATCACTGATTTTACTCCAATACCCTGGAATATCATAGAAAGAAAATAATACAAATCCAGATTTGAGGACAAGATCAAATTCTTTGATAAATTTAGATGGTCCTAACAACGATCTACTCATAGGAAGGGAATCCAAGGATCCCCTCCATTACCCCTCCATAATCTTGTTCCTTGAAAGGGTCTGTGTTCACAGTGGGCTTGTTAACTAAGGGGAGGTCTTTCCTGTGACTGAGGTTAGATATCTCTCAACACTGCTGTCCTGGCCTCGCTTTATGTGTCTGGTCTCTGTAGGCAAGAATAGCAGAAAACGCTAGCTCCTCACTACATGAGGTGCAATGACTTCCCTCCTGCTCAGTGTGCAGTGCCAAGACTCAATCCTGATTTGGGCACCGTGTCATGAAGTTATTCATTGTCCCAGTCACCTGTAGGGTATCTGCTTAGGGTCTCATCCTATAAACCACGTGAACATTTTCAATTGTATTAGGTGCATGTAATATCTAATTATAAAACCAAAACCAAAAAAAAAAAAAAGAAGCTTTGATTACAAAGCTTGTTGGGTAGAGTTCTAAATGTTGTCAGAGTGATAAAAGTGATGGGCAAGTTGGCATACTTGAAGTGTTTGGTGGGGGGAATGAACTGTTTACAACCTTTCTATTCTTTCTCCTTTCTACTCTAATCTGTAGGGCTGAACAGCAACTGTACTCAGAGCTTGCTAGGCGTGCTGGGCTGTCGGCAAACTGACTTCCTGCTCTCCACTAAGTGTGGTTCTTGGAAGTTGATGCCCTGCAGCAGGGAATGCTGGGATGCCTCAGTCAGTCCTCCTCAAAGGCACGCACTGTCCCAGACTAACATTCAGAGTCCTCTTCCCAAATCAGCCAGGAAGGGATGGCTGGAACCTTGATTTTTCAGAAAATGCGATTAAGCAGTCAAACCCATAATTCAAAAGATACAGTTCTCTGTACAACGTCAAAGGGGACTGCGGCGCAACAAAGGGAGTGTATGCTTTGAGATCATACAGATGTGGGAGAGAACTTAGGGTCAGTCATGTGCTTTGTGGGTTTGGCCACATTACTTTAACCAAAAGTTAACTATAAGGATTATATGAGAATGAAGCCACAAGTATAATTTAGCACCTATCACAGAGCCTGGCTTATTGCTGCTGCCAAATAAATGTGGTTGATATTGTTTTTCTAAGAAGGGATGTGAAAATTCCAACCCCAGAAGTCTGGTACAATCAACACTCAAACAAGTGTGGGATCTGTGCTGATGCTAGCAAGCTCATCCAGGATCTACCTAAATGTCTTTAAGCAATCTGTCTTCCTGGGAGTGTTTCACAGTGCCAGAACATGCTCAGTACTGTCTCATAGCTATTATTCACAAACATTCTTGCCTTTCCTTTTGGGTCTGGGAGATATAGTTTACCGGTTCTTTCGCGGTCATGAGGATAAAATGTCTCCATCACTTAGAAATTCTGGGAAGCAGAGTAACTGTTTAAATAACTCATTACCAGTTATGTAGGAAGCTGATATTTTTAAACTCTCTTAAACCACATAATAGCACCTTCCCAGAATACAAGGGGTTGGACTTGGATTCTCTGAGAGTTACAGAATATAACTGAGAATCGGGTTTAGCTTTTTATAGTGTTTCAGTTTTAGACTGGACTGTTCTCAGCTGTTCGTTACTGATCTAATCCCTCTCAAGGAGATGGGATCTGTAGATCATTTAGAAAGCCTTTCGTCAGGTCAACTTGCAATCAGTATAAACTGTCTGCCCCTGACATAGCACTAAAGAACATAAGCACACTGATTCAAAGATTCAAAGAGAAATACTTTCCCTTTTGTCTGCTTCTGTGCCACTTTGCGAATGTCTACCCTAAATGTAAGGGAGCTTTCATTTCCTTTCAATAGCTTCCTGGTAATACTATTTACAACATAACCAAACCCACATTTCACACAACAAGAAAAATGTATAAAAAGCAAAATATGGTCAAAATACAATCTAAATGGAAATCATACGATGTGTAATTTTAGAAGACAAAGATTATTTTTGCCCTTTCTCATTATCATCTGTGTCATATTATTCAATGCTCCTTTCTTCATAAATATTTTGACAATGTGGCTTTGGGACTCCCTGATTTTTGGTCACCACCAACAGCTACAGCATTCTACTTTTCTAATTATACAAATACAACATACGTTGACTGGAAAATAAAAAACATACACATGTACACATGAAAGTACACTGGATATGTAACTCAAAATAAATTCTACCACAAAGGGATAATCAACATTAACAATTTTGGAGGTCCAATCTCTTGGTGTCATTCCCATGCATTTGTGATTATAAAAATCAACTTTAGCAAAAATTCGGGCCAAAATATGACATCAAGAATATTGTCCCATATTTTTACCTTTCTAAAAAGATTTTATCAGCCACTTCATTCTATGGATTTATCATAAATTAAATAAATCATATTAGATACTGCTGGCTAGTTCTTCCATTTCTCTGCTGTGCAATCTGGGACAATTAATTTCTCTGTATCTTGGTTTCACAATCTGTTGAATATTGATAATTTACCTATCCCTCGTAAAACTATTGTGAAAATATGACAAGAATAAACATGAAATGCCTTGGCACTATGCCCAATATGGGGTGTGGCACGTTAGCTGCTCCTGTGTGTAATAAATTTCCTTTTCCATCATTCTTTATGTATATCTGTAATTCTTTATTAGAGATAAATTCTTGAAGTGGACTCACAGAATTAAGTCTTGCACATTTTGGAGGAGAGTGTACACTGGTGAAAGGATTGGTATTGGGGCACTGTATGTATGAAACTAAATCATGAATAGCTTTGTAATACACACTCAATAAAATATTTTTGAAAAATAAAGAAAAAACTGGATCTCAAAAAAAAAAGACAAAAAAGACTTGCACACTTTTGATTCTATTACCATAGTCCCTTTCAGAGAAGCCATGTCCATATTAACAGACTTTTTCCTGTACTTTTGCCAACGTGTACTTTCTAAAGCTTTGAAATAGGTGAAAAAACTTAAATTTTTGTGAAAAATGGCAGAGCTAAAAATTTCCCACAGTAGCCTTTTCTCTTTGCCCTTTCTATTAATCACTTGATGCAATTATTTGGGATGGGGGTGAGGAGTATAAAACTTGTTCTTATTTTTATCTACTCTCTATATCTTCTTTTATCTCCATGATGCCCAAGAATATGTAAGAGAATAAGGGAAAGCCTTCATTTGTGATGGAACATTACTCTGCGTCCCAGGTGCCCTCACCTCTCTGAAGGTCAAAAACCTAATTTTCACATAGACAACTTTACCATTTGCATCATCTTTACTGAATTATTTTCTCTCTCAAGTTTAGGAAAGTTCCTCCATACTGAAGTCCAGGGTCAACAATGTTTTAATATTTTTAGGTAATAAATGATCATTTTTAATTTGCCAATAATTTTATAATATAAGTTTAGAGTCTAATGAGAACTTATACTAAAATTCTTTTAAACAATAACAATAAAAACACAGAAAGTGACCCACAAATGAATATATCATTATGACAGTTTTTTTGCATATTGTACAATTACGTAAAGGTAAGGTAAGGTAAAGGCCCTCCCGCTGATCGTCGATTTGCTCGAGCGGGCCCAGTAACGTCTCCATTGGAGACTTTGTTGTTACTGTGTTTGGCATATCGAATACAATTACGTACAGGCAATTAATGTTTATGGGTGCCTGGTAAAGACAGGACTTGGTGACCTTCAGATCCTGTCCTATCTTACTTGAATGGGTAACTTGTGGGTCAATTAGGGTCACTTAAGTTTTGACTCAATAGAAAAAAAAGACTGAGGGGAGTGGGGGCAGAGCAATAGGACCCGCTGCTGGGTGCTTGCCTTGCATGCAAGCAGGAGTAACTCCTGAGTGCAGATTCAGAAGCCCTGAGCATCTGGGTGTGCACCCAAAAAAAGAAAGAAAAGAAAGAAAAAAAGAAAGAAAGAGAAGACTGGGCTTTAACCCTTCTTCCAGCTAGAAGTTCTATATAATAGAGATATTTGAAGGTACAATTTACCTAAGGGATATTATTGGTTCTCTTCCATCAGACCTATGCTCACATACAAGGTAGACCAATTCTGCCTAAGGAATCATATTTCAATACAGACCCTTCTTACTTCTTCCCTCCACCCAAAATGAGTTTTTTTTTAGGAAACCTCCTTTCCCAGAAACATAAACTTAAGCAACAGGATGAGAAATCAAAGACACAATCAGTGGCTTGAAAAAAACAAAACCAGAAGCATGCCATGTGAGCAAATGAAGCAAATCTAGAGTTTCCATTGGAATAGCATTATGCCCACAAACTTGAATACGGTGAAGACAGATGAGCCGCCAAATGAAGTCTTTTAGAATTTCTGAGTCACTTAAAATGTAATTCGCAGAACAGCATCCTTTAGAGAGAAAATAATCTGAACAAATCCGACAAACACATAATAAAAGAAGGTTCCATGCAAGTCATTTAAAAACAACAACACTGAACTGAGGAGAAAATATCCAGTACTGCACAATGAAGAACACACAAAGCAGTCAGCTGATTTGAATCTTCATGCAATTAAGCGAAATGGAAGTCAGAGATGCAACTGTGGTCTGATTAATACTTACAAGTTAACAAGTTACCTGACTTTTCTAAAATTCCAAGCAGCTAACAATTAAAAAAACAAGAGACATTCGTTGATTTGCAAATGTTTACCACAAATAACACCACAGAACACAAACAGACTTTGTTATTGTGACCCACACAGTACATTTTTCTCTTCAACCATTTTGGGGGAAAAAAAAAAGCCAATACATGTTGCTACAGACTAAGGAACTGTGCTATGAAACAGACAATACCAACTGAAAAAAACACAAGAATATAGAGCAGCACAATATATCAAAGCAATGGCATATTAGCAAATAAAGGGAATAAGATATTTAATAGATAAAGTGAAGTTGGTCAGCATTTGAGTGTAGGTACATCATGCAAGTGACTCAGCTGTTCAAGAGGAAGTGATCAAGTTTTGAAAGGAAAGGAAACAATTGGTAAGGTGTAGGGTTTGATCCAATGGTATCAAGCTGGGACACAGAGTCTCAAACATACACAGTCTCAAACCCCCCCTTACCTCCCCCCGCCCCACCTCCCGGCTGTCTCAAGACCTGCCACAGTCATTCAAGGCAGGATGGCGCACCCAGACCAATGCGGCACAGCTGAGGTCAGGAGGCTCTCAGTGGTTTGGCTGCCCTGTGCAATGGTCAGAGGCAAATACCCAACCATTTCTGCTGGGTTACCAAAGTATGACCCACAGCAGAATTGAAGACATGTACTTGGTGCAGTTCCTACTCTAGGAACTGAGTGTGGGTGATGGGTGCAGAGTGGCGATGGCAGTGAGGAAAGACAGGATTCCTAAGATCTAAACCCTCTCAGCCTGATGGAACAGCGAAGGAAAGTGGCGTTGTCTTTAGACCTATCGACAAAACTCTTAATGCCAGAAAAATTACTCAGATGATGACGTAGAAAATGGATAAAATACGAAAGCTAAATAAAATGGTTTGGGGCTAAAAATATTTTCACAAAGCTTTCAGTTTCCACAGTCCAAAAAGAAAGAAAGGAAGGAAGAAAAAAGCTGTTCTAGGATATTTATGCCACAACCAGCACATAGTAGGTTTAATCCTCCCAACACAAACATTAAATGCAAGAGAAAGGGTGACTGTGGTGATAGTTTTACCAAAAGCAGAGTCCTTGTCGAGAAGGTGTTATTCTAAAATAACCAAAAAGGAAGGCGGAAGCTGGAGATGGGAACTGAAGCTTTCTGAGGGGTAACATGAGAAGTCAATCTGGCACTGATCTTTGCTTGGCATTCACCGTGGCAATACTCCTAAAATGTACCGATTTTCTGGACTGCCCTCAAAAAACAACAACAAAAAAGAGAATCTGATCTTTCTGTACCAAACTGAGGTCCTTCTTGTCTTACAAGGTCACAACAATGGAAATGGCCGTGCTGACTGCCACACCTGAAGAGTGAAGCCTTCACTGGCCAGGCAAAGACATGCAGAGGCTGGGAGTCGGGAGCTCCTTCTCTGGAGCTTCCGTCTCTCCACCCCCCCAGCTCTAAGGAAAGCTACTCATGGGCCCACTCCCTCAGTCTTAAACTGAAGCTCGCCTCATGACCACAAGAGCTGTTCTGAGGTTTCAAGGGGTCAACAGACATGAAATTCCCTAGGCCAGTCCATGGCATCAGAAAGACAAAACAGTCTTTGTTTTCTACTTCTTCCTTGTTGATATGCCCCATCTATCATCCAGCCCCATGTATGGGAGAATGCATTTTGAGCAGAGGAAAATTAGTGTACAGAAAAAAAGCAACTCCTATGTTTTATTTCATTTAGAGACTGGAACCAAAATGTCTTGATCAGTAACAAGATCTCTTGGTGGAGTCCCAGTGTTTCTGAGATTTCTCTCTGCTGGAAAACCGTTATTTACATGCTGGTGTTCAGACTAGTAAGATGTCAGAAGGTGATCCCATTTAGAATGAAAAGCCCCTGGCTTCCAAAATGGGGGTGGTGACAGCCAGCAGTTATCCAAGGAAAAACCTGGGACACCCTGGGAAGAAGAACACACTGGGCAAAGGAAAAGAAACCAAGCTCAAATTAACCCCTTCAGAAATACACTAGGAAAATAAGAAGCCCTCGTGTTCTAGCTGACTGGACGGCTTCCCTGAAACTATTCTGAGAAAAGATGTCAGAAAGTGTCAGAATAGGCCATTCCAAAGGAAACTATACCTGGCCAGCAAGAACATCACTGAACACAGAGCCTTTTCATGTGTGGTCCTGAGGAAGGAAAGGAGGTCCACCCCCATCTCATGGGTGCCCTAAGCACAGTTTTAAGCTAAGCTATAATGCTAATTTAGAAAACAAGTTCAGGGCCAGAGTGACAGTATAGCACGTAGAGCATTCGACTTGCACAGGCTGACCTATGTTCAATTCTGGCACCCCATATAGTCCCACGAGTCCACCAGAGTGATTCCTGAGTGCAGAGCCAGGAGTAAGTTCTGAGTTACATTGCCAGATATAACCCCCAAACCAAAACAAATAAACAAAAATAGAATTAAGAAAAATTAAGTTTAAGTTCAAAACCTCGTCCAATCAAGCCCTCCTGGATCTAAAGAGAAAGCTTTCTTTCTAAACAATGCCCTGGAAGCCTGCTTATTTGATCTACAATGGGTTTCCTCACAGATCCCTGCATTTCCTCCTCTCTTGACAAAGCTTAAATGCCTCTTGGCCTGCAAAGAGATGCTCTACAAGGGATGGCGACTCTTGACGCATTGACAAGAAAAATCCTAGGAATCCAGCTTTAGCTTTCATTTTGCCTTCCTCTATGAGAATGCCTTTGTGGAGAGCTCATTCACTCCTCCCCAGACATGAACACTGTTCAGTGTTCAAATGCCCAGAAACAGGGCTGCATCAGCATTAGGATCCATGCTTACAATTCCCTTGGTTCATGCGCTAGTTTCGTGTCACAACAAAACTCCAAGTTATCTATTTCCTCTTGCAAACTAACTTCTGCCAGTGATGTCTGTATGGTATATTGGTATCTTCTGTATGTCGAGCTGGAAACCTGAGTCATTCGTCATCCAACTACACAACCAATCAGTTCAGCTTTCCCAACAAACTTACAGTCTTGCAGACCCACTTATTCTCTCATTATTGTTGCTCATTCATTGATGTAATTCCTCCAACCATCTCTAGATTTACAAGGAGAGATCACACTTCAAAAAGGATCACATACGTCTTTTAAAGTATATGACTTTTATTTTTAATCTCCGGTGAATTATTTCAGTGAAATGATAATTTTTTCTTAAAGCACATACCTCTTTTGGTAATGACACTAATTTATTTCTGTCTGCATTCAAGTTACTCAACTTCTTAAGTTTTCCAATGCTCTTAGGTAAGGCCTGTTAAAGGAACATTTTAATCAGTAAGTTAATATTCTGCTTGAAAAAGTGTGGCAAATATTAAAACAGCTCTTTGCAAGGACCTAAGGAATAGAATTTTATCCAGCTTCCTCCCTACCCATGCAGGGAAAAAAAAAATGGTAACAATAGTTCTTGAGTACCAGATATTTGCAAAGTTCACTCAGGGGATGTAGAGTTCAATATTTTACATCTGTGTTGAAATGGTAGAATGTTCCAGTGAAACGAAATCAAAGGCACAGACCAGGGAATAGAGAAACACCTAGCAAAGGAGGCAGCTCATCAGTCCCCAGCTGAAAATTCACATCCAGAGTCACTCCTTTCCTGACTGGACCCTTGAGAACTGCACTGAGACTGTGGTTTAGACGGTGATGGGCCGCAGAGTTCTGGCTACAGCTGGAAATCAGGACCCCAACTGGGTGCAGAAGGCCCAGGAGAGTAGGAGGGAGGGCCGCCAGGGGAGCACAGGGCCCCCTGGAAACAGGCTGCGCCCACGACTGGAGTGGGGAGTGTGTCTGTGAGACTCGCATGGAATCCAGGCTGAATACCAAGTTTGGAACTGTAATGCTATTTGTAAGACTGAAACCTCAAACCACAGTAGGAAGATTCACTCCCTCCCATCACTCCTGCCAGAGAAGGCCTCTGACTCCTTTTTGTCAAATTTTTTTTCTTGATCAACTGGGCCAGGGGTTCAGTGAGAGCATCTGATGATGTGGTGGGGGCAGGGCTACTTCCAGTTTGCCCTGGGAGGTGGCTCCTGGCAGTGCTCAGGACCACCAGTGGTAGCAATGGAAACTTGGTCCCAGTACACAAAGCATGCGCTCAGCCTGTTGAGATGTCATGATTCACAAGTTCTTTTTTAAAGGTGTAACTTAAGGAAATTTCCCTACAGTCCACCCAAATTACAAGTATAATCTCCTTGGCAAGTCTTTTTTGACAGAGAGCGCACAGGATGAATCGGCATTTGAAATGCATATGACACTTACCAGGAGCCGGTTTTCTGTAAGAACCAATTCGGTGAGGCTTTCACAGTCCCCAACCGTGTCAGGCAATTGTGAGAGTCTGTTCTGATCCACCTTCAAGATTGACAGTTTCTTTAGTTTTCCTGTAAAAGCATCATTTAAACTCATTAGTTGTTTTCCAATCATCACTTGGTCCTTCCTATCTGCTGCGGGGTTTTTTTTTGTTGTTGTTGTTGTGTTTTAATCAGCCATTCATTCTCCCTGCCCCGCAACCGGCTTTTCACATTTTGAAATCACATTCTCACTTATATCACTAAGAGTAGGGTTAAAATAATTTGCATAGAGCATGAAAAACAGCCAGCAATTAGAAGCAAATCATTTTAAAAGTTACTACCTAAAAATAGTCTATTAAAGCCTGAGCATTTAAAGAAAAAGCAAAAGGCTCTCGAGGGCTCTTTAAGAACAGTAGATGTTTCTTGTACAAAAAAAAAAAAAAGACTCTCACTCCTTACTTAAGAAATCTTTAATACCTTCCTTGAAAAACCTTACTCCTGGAATAAGCAGCATACTTACTAAAAGCCAAGCCAGTAAAGTGCAGCTTATCATCCATAACGGAAAATGATTCAGTGGTGGGTTTGATCATCAAGCATTTCTGTCTGTGTAGAAGGAAGCAGTCATCTCTGGAAAGACTTCTACTCACTCCCTGGGGAAGGCCACCAGTGCTGGGTGTAACTGAGCATCTCAGAGCCTGATAGGGTGAGGGAAATCCTCACTGTTCCCGGGCTTACTGTAAACTACAATCTGAGGGTCTGCATCCAGAAAGCAGATATTGCCTAACCCGTACAATGGGACCCCCAAAATGTAGGATGGGAGTACTATCAGGCCTTATGTGCAGTTACAGGGGAGGACAGAGAAACTTACTCCAAAGCTCTCTGCAAAAACGTAGCCAAGACACACTGTCCCCATGGGCTTCTCCCATCTTGCTCACAGAAAGGAGAGGCTGGCATGCCCAGCCCCACTCAACTATCACAGCCCTGACACACCTGCCCGCAAAAGAAGTCCACCACAGAAACTCAATGCTGTGAGCTTTTCCCTCACATCTTCTGGTAACTGGGCACTCACTCCTTCCTTCCTCAATTGATTTGCAGCAGAGTTTTTACACATTTCCCCACCTTCATCTTTTTTCCCCCCTCCCGTACCATCTCTTCCCCTGAAGTAAATTTTCTGTTATCAAGTCCACTGGTCTGTCTTTTCATTTTTGTTTGGCCTGTTCATCAATTCTGTGTCATTACGCTACACCTGTAAGCTCTTTTTCTTTTCTTTCTTTCTTTTCTTTTTAAATTTTTATTAGTGAAACACCATGAGGTACAGTTGTAGACTTACACATTTTTGTGCTTGGGTTTCAATTATATAATGATCAAATACCCGTCCCTCCACCAGTGCCCATTTCCCACCACCACTGATCCCAGTATCCCTCCCACCCCCCATCCCACCCTGACTCTGTGGTAGGGCATTTCCTTTTGTTCCCTCTCTCCTTTTGGATGCTGTGGTTTGCAAAAGAGGCATTGAGTGGAAACCTTGTTTGGTCTATAGTCTACTTTCAGCATGCTTCTCCCATCCTGGGAGGATCCTCCCAACACCCTTTATTTGGTGCTCCCTTCTCACATGTACTCTTTTCTCCTGGTTTTTCACAACACTTAATTCCCTAGAGCTCCTTCCATTTTTCTTGTGAATGGCAGAATTTCACCTGTGTTTTTTTTGTTTGTTTTGAACAGTTTCGTAGTATACTGTTGTAAAATGTAATCTGTCTTCATTATCCAAATCACCCACGTTGGTTGCTTCCATATTTTAGCTACTATAAATAATGCCACAACAAATACTGAAGTAGATATAACTTTTTACCAGTTTGTGGTGGTACCAGTGATCAAGCCCTAGCCTTCCTGCACGTAACCTAATACTTGCTGCTTTGGATGTAAACCATTTTCACAGGTTTATGGTGGTATACTATCGTGGTCTTAATTAGAATTTCCCTGATTTTTCATGTGCTTATTGACCAACTGTAAATCCTCTCTGGACAAAAGATTTTTAGATCTCCTGTCTACTTCTTGACTCAGTTATTTATTTGTTTTCTCTTAAACTGCCTGCATTCTTAATATTCTTTGACTACTAACTCCTTTATCTGATGCAGGTGGGCACTGTGTTGCTTTCATACTTGTTTTCATCAATGCTCTGTCCACATTTTAGCTTGAAAATATTCGCTTCATATTTTTGGAAAGGGTTCTGTTCATATTCTCTTTTAATGTACAACATCTTTTACTTTTACTTTTAATCTAATCCAATTGTTACTTTCATTTCCCTTAGACTAGGGTGTAATAAACCTATCGAAAGCACTTTTTAAGAAATCAAATTGAGAGTCACGGGCTGAGATAGTATAGTGGTTAAAGCACTTTCAAAGCACTTGCCTTGCACAGGATTAACCCAGTTCAAGTCCCTAAGCAACTCCAGGCGAAAGCCCTTAGCACTGCCAGGTGTGACCTCAATGGCCATGTCCAAAATATATAAATTGAGATTCACAATCTTTTATTTCATATGTAATAAATGTACTCCACAGGCATCTCATGCCTCCTACTTCCTTTTCTAAGCAACAATCAACCTCAATTGCTACAACTGCTTCCACTGAATATTTCTACTAACAGTCAAATTCACCATCAATTTTCTAACCATATTTCATCAAAATGCAATGTCTATCTCCTGCTGAGCAGCTATTATCAACTTTCGCTTTCATCTCAACTACGTATCAGAAAGGAAGTGGTCCTCTGTACCCAACTATGTAGTGTCCCCAACTATTAAAAACCTTTTTAAAACTTCCTTTGATGTTTCACAAAGCATCAAACATAGAAATCCTATGTCAACTGTATGGTTAAATATAGTTTCTGACCATTTCAAAGTAGTTTTGCCACGGGAAAGCTGCTCGTTCACATCTATTTATGCCTTCTCCATTTCCATTTATTTTCTCACCGTGGACTTAATTCCTTTATGGTAAATGAAACAATCTGAACTGTTTCTTTTATTTTTTGCTTTCTAAATAAGCAGCATAGAATGGCTTAAGTGAAGGTAATTCGCAGCATACTACCAAGGTCTCAACTTAACACAGTTTCTCTGTAACAGTCCTCCCTAAATCATGCAATCAGGTCTATTTAGGATGTCAATTAGAAATTTCTTAGTGACTGTGCATGAGCCTGAAACTCATTTTTATTAGTGTACTGAGCCCTATTAAAATCACTGACAAATTGTAGATGAAGTAGATGAGTCAATACTTGAAAGTATGAACACCTAAAACTGCGACTGAACCAAGACAACAAACACTTGATTACAGAGAAACTTAAATGGTAATGAATATTTTCTGCACACGTGATTTGAAAACACACAGAGCAGCAAGAAGAGTCACATGTCCTTCACCTAAGCATGATGACCAAAGGATCCAAGTTCAGTCCAAAGGCTCCAGACAACACCCAGTACCTACAGTGGTCAGTGTCTCAATACGTACCGATGCCATCTGGAATGACTTCTAGTAAGTTCTGGGAAATGACTAAATCTGTTAGTGAAGTCAGGCCACTAATTTCTTCAGGAAGTCTTTCCAACCTGTTTTCAGAGACATCTAAGCATAGCAGGTTCTTCAGATTTCCTATTTCCTACATCAATGACAAAGAAATACAAACTCAGGCATTAAAGCAGTAACGAGAAATTTGCTACAGTAATTATTTTGGGGGCTGTGGGGGGGCAATCAAATCTCAATGTAGTCCAAAGGATGCTTCTGTAACATATACTTGCATATACTTGGATAAATTTCCAGATTCCCTTCCAATGAAAATGAGAAACTATGAATCACAGACACAGAGCTGAGAGGGATGCAAAAACCTCTAAATTTCAGAAAAGCAAGAAATTATTCTCACCAAGTAGGAAGAGACAGGCACCAAGAATGAATAAATGACTATAAGGGCACACAATAAGAAAAAGGGGGGCTAGTCTCTATTCCCTGAAATTCAGCAAAGCATCTCTTCAAGGCACACTCTGCCAGCAAGCCACCTGCTTCTCATCTCCCACGACAAGCAGTACTTTTTATAAGGAACATCAGTGTGATCCTTGGCAAAACTGGAGCTCAGAGACCCACAAACACCTCTACCTTTAGCAGCAATACAGAAGAGAAACATGGTTTTTTTTTTTTTGAAGCAGTTTGTCTGGAACTAGGGACAGTAGTATTACGAGAAGTTACTTGACTTTAATAAAATTAGTATTTTCTATTATCTCTTCTCTTAATCTCTACTTTCCATTCCCAGTGGCACTATCATAAATTCCTGCTTACCCTCTTACCCAAGCTGTTTGCTCTGTCTACTCAAATCAGAGCCCAGGAGGTCTCAGTCTATGTTCTAATCTGTGCTTCTAAGCTTTCCCTCCTGGAAACTCAAGCTAGTACTAGTCAAGGATTCGCGTAACCCACTCAAAAGGGGGACAATTCATGGCTCCCTGGTGTCTGAGTATAAATTCCTCAATCTATATTTAATCTGGCTGATAGATTCTTCCCTGCTTCTCTCCTGCCTCATATGCATCCTATTCCTGCATTTCCTACTTTTAGGACTCCAGAATACATTTTTATTCCTTTACAGGACACAGTCTACTTTTGTTCTACTTTCTTCATGAATTTCCTTTAACAATGTCTTTGAATCCTTTTTACTGTGCCATCAATGAACACACACACAAAGTTCTAATCACATGAGATTGTTTGGTGTGTTTATTCTGGTTTAATAGCCATTCATACGAGAAGCAAATGTGATTTTAAATATCCATTTAATCTAGAACCACTGGAGTTTTGTGTTTAGTATGAGGCATTTGGACATCATTTATCTGCATCGTGAAAAGTACTCTGGCTTTGAAGATACCAAGGAGATGCCTACTTCTGTGGGTGCAATTTGCTTGCACAGATTTCTTGTCGACCTAGCCAGAAGGCAGATGTGTTTGCTAAGACTCCAAAAGCTGTCTGTGTACTTAGAAGCCTACACACAATAAAAACATTTCATTTGGAACTTGGTTCTCACATGAGAGCTGTATGAAAAACCTGAACACCATGACATGCCAGCAAAATCATAAGCATTATTTGGAAAAAGACAAGAAATAAATGCCTGTAACATTGTTTTTGTATCAACTATTCCCGGGCGAAATGTGGTCAAAATTATCCCAGAGTACTTGGCACACCACAAAGAGTGGCAGAAATGTATATCATCAGAATCAGGAGGCCTGGCAATTTATGAATTTGCTGGCTTGAACTAAGCCATACGGACAGCAAAGATGAAATAAAATACAGATTTCAAGAACGAAAGGGTATATTTTCTATCTTCAGAAATGGTGGGTTGAGGATTTCAATTTTTCTATGGCAATAGAGCATGATGAATGCTCAATATTCCTTTCCAAATGTTTTTTTTTCAACTAATACAGTTGGCATTCAAGATCTTTGCTAGACGGAATCTTCAATAGAAGCACGAGGACGCTGCACGTGATTTTATAATGGGAGGAGACACGGTGAAGTACCACTCACCTGAGGTAATTCTGACAACTGATTTCCATCCAACCAGAGATCCTTAAGATGTAGGAGAGCTCCAATTGACTCTGGCTAAACAAACAAACAAATTATGTTATGCTAACAAAGGTTTAACTTTCAGTTTTCTATGAAAAAAAAAAAAGACTTCTGGGGCCAGAGAAATGGCTCAATGGTGGAGCACAGGCTTTGCATGCAGGAGGCCTAAGGATTGAGGAGAATGTTTGCTCAGACTTCTCCAATATCAGATCTCCTTCCTAAAAAGCCCCAATTTCCCCAGGAGTGACAGCCATTTCTGCTTATGTCCATCACCTGTAGTCCCTGCCCCTCTCCACGTCCCCCTCCGCCACCCCTCCCTCCCTTCCTTTCTCCCTCTCCCTCCCCTCTCCCTTTCCCTCTCTCTCTCTCTCCTCCCTTCTCCTTCTCCCTCTCTGTTGTTGTCGGTGCCAGGGATGGAATCCAGGTCTGTGCATGTAAGGTATACGTGCTAGAACCCATGTCCATGCATGTAAGGGACATGCTTTTCACTGCTGAGCCACAACTCAAGCACTGAACTTTCTATGATGCTCTCAAGCTGCCTTTGTAGAAATACCAGTTCATAGCAATCACTAACAACCCACCTGCCCAGCCAAATATTCTGTGATTATAACCTGACCAAGTTAATTCAAATCTCTCTCGAGTGCACACTTACCAGATTATATATTTCATTGTTTCCTAAATCAAGTTCTTCTAGCCTCCGTAGTTGAGCAAGAGAACTATAGAAGGGAGAGGAAAAGGAGCTCTTAGAACTTAGAATTGCTGAGCAGAATGGTGTTCTCACTTGGTCTAGTTTCCAAAAATAAACTCCTTTTAGATGTTACGGTAGAAGATAAAGCACAGGAAGTGTTATTAAGCTCATGCCTCCCAATCTTTCCGAAAGACACCGCTTCTTTCAGACAAAATATTGTAGTACTTTTCCTTTTTTAATGCTAAATTAATTTAGCCCGAGACCCTCTTAAAAGTTTTCCCAGAGACTCACTCAGGAAGATATGTAAGAAGATTCTCTCTCAGTTCCAGTGACGCCAGGTTATAAAGACTAGAAATGAAGAGGGAAAAAGGTGTAAGGAAAAATTCCTGAGATTCTTCTTACTGCCCTCTTCCCACATATACACACTAAAACTTGCTTAGGATGAAAATATATGTGACTACCAGCCCCCAGCCATAAAAAAAAAGAACATAATCTCTACCTCCCAAGTCTTAATATTAACATTTTAAATGCAGTGTCATCATTTGAAGGCACCCTCATTCGAGTAAAGGACAACTCCTGGAACACAATATATCTTCTGGACATTAGGATGTGTTATTGCCATAAAAACAGTCATGTCTTGAATCTCATGGACATATTCTTCACTTCAGAGTGCTTTTTCAAACCTCAGTGAGAGCCAATCTCTACCAAAAAGGGTATTCAGAATCCAGAAAGCCGAAGTGTGCTACATAAGATTGAAAGTCACGGGGCAAGTGGAAGAAGTACCATAGAAGGAACTGTCTGTCAGGTGCATCAGGGATACGTAGAAATGTACCTTACAAGTGCTGGGAACACAGGAATTATAATAATGTGGCCTCTATTCCTCTCACAACCCAGAACGGTTCTCTTTAGATTTTTCTGCCTCTTGGGTATAATGCACATCTACTGGAAGCCCAGCGAAATGAGTGAGATGATGTTCTCCCAACCAATTTTTTATCTGGGTTGAATTCTGATAGGTAATAGAAATCCTGGATCTCCAGAAACCCCAAATATCCAAATGATGTTAGCACTGACCAGACACCTGATAAGAACTATTACTTATCTAACCCCCTCCAGCGCTGTACCAATCTGTGCCAAGAGACTATTCCAGGTTTTGCTGATATCACTGTGTAACATCAAAATTTGGAGTACTTTTATTTGTGAATTCACAAAATACAAAGAATTATCCAAATACTCTAATCAACCTTTATCCTCTATTCTTTTTCCAACATAACATCCAGAATAGTGAATATAATGAATACTAACAAAGGTGGCTTCACAACATTAAAAAAATGTAGATATGATTTGCAAGAACAGTATATACACACTAATGTTCCTCTAAATCAATATATGTTACAAAGAAATATTACAGATTTAATACCAACATTTTTCAAAAATTATATAACCAGGTAGTTTTCTGAGGCTATGTTTACACAGAAGAAACAGCAATAAGAAAGAATGGAAGGTGAGAAAACTATTGCGCATTTATCTATTTTCATTTCTTTTGAAAAAAATATTGTAATTGAGGTGTCATCGTTTATAATACTACTGAAATACATATACCAATCTCCGTTATCCACACGAAGGACACTGAGGCATTTATAGGTTTGGTTATTTTAAAATTATGATCAACACTTAGAGGTTATCTTTAAATTTCATCCTGAGGCTAAAAGGTATAGGCCACAATGGCAATAAGCAAATAATGCAAAATGCCAAGAGACCAGTGGACATACGTAACTTAATAATAGTGAAAAGTTAGATTAAATGCACAATGTCCATCCCTATTATGCTAAATTCCAGATACAACACCCTGCCAAGTAAAAGGGTTCTAGGTTCAGAATCCTTTTCATTCGAACCTTATTAAGCTCTTCCTGACATTAATAAGTTATTATTCACATCATTTAAGATTCTGAGTTTGAAAGGTTGTGAAAATACCTACTTTTGGTTATTTCCCACCGCACATTCACATCCACATTCTAGCTATCCATAAGCAATTTTAACCGATAGAGAAAAACATGAATGTGTGAGTGGGGAAAAATATTCCTGCAACCTTTCAAAACTGAGAAAGTAATTCTCTGACATCACATTTCCCCATCTTTTTAAAATTAATAAATGTAGACACTCTAATCAGACCCCCTTCCTGCTGAGGTGTCACCTATGGATTGTACATGGAGTCTGAGTCTAAGACCCAGAGGAACTACCTCGCTGGATTAGCTCAGCTGAGGCACTCACCACTGAAGCACCATCTCACATAAAATGAATATGAGATTATACGTGTGTGTGTGTGTGTGTGTGTGTGTGTGTGTGTGTGTGTGTATGGGTGGGGGGTGGCAATTAAAATTTATTCAACTTTCCCTTCAAGTTAACACACACCACTTTGAGCCTTATTTCCCTTAAGTATCCCCTGTGTTTCAACAAGAGTTCTGCACAGAAACATAGCTACATGATAACATCCATCACAGAAGTTGTCCCCAAGACAGAAAACCACCTCGGAGGACGGGCACCGAGAGGCTGAAATGTTGGTGCCAACCAACTGCTACCTGAACACCCACTGGACGAGGAACAGAAAGCAAAGAAGCAACGCTGACCGCAGGTAGGCCCAACTCCTGCCTGAGTGGACTTCAGGGCAGTCCTGACTGGTCACTCCATTTTTAAATTTTATTTTGAAGGGGAGGTGCACACTCTGAAGTGCTCAGGGCTTGCTCTTGGCTCGATGCTTAGGGACCACTCCTAGCAGGGCTTAGGGAACTTACGGGAGTCTGGGATGGAAGCTTAGCTGGCCTAACTGCTGTATTGGGTGTCTGGGGAATCTGCGTTGTTAATCACTAGCTTCTGCCATCCCTTACTCTTCGGGTGAGTCAACTGAGTCAAGCCAATTTTGTGAACATGTAATTCATTTAATAAATGTGCAAAATAAAATATTCAAAAAGAATTAGCTTCTCTCCCAACTTTGCTTTAAGTTTTTCTTTTGGGGCCATACCTGGAGATGCCCCCGGGACTGTATGCCACGCTGAGGATCAGCCATGTGCAAGGCAAGCACCTCACCTGCTGGACGTGACTCCAGCCCTTCTCCCAACTCTGAGCCTTGTTCATCCATCGCCATCTATCTCACACTTTAAAAAAAATTACTTCTGCATCTAGAGTTTTCCCTGATGCAGAGACAACAGACATGCGTATATTCTATTTTCCCACATGCAAGGGAGTACCCTATCCGTGCCTGGCACTTTTTGCTCTCCTCACCTAGCAGGTTATTCTCATTAATTCGCTGGACAGTATCTCACTGTCTACACACAAGACTTAATTTCTTTACTAAACTCTCCGTTATTACATATTTTACCCTTTAATTTCTGGGTAACTGCATTTCTATGTAGTACTGTCAGCATGACGTCATCCTACTACCAAAAAATTTTATTTTTTTAATCTTCCCTGCAACTCCTACCACTTTTACCACCGAGTGAGGTTTTAAAAAAACCCAACAACTAAATAAGCTCCAAGCAGGAAAAAATGTGTTGAAGCATTTAATCCTGTCACACAAATGCTTACTGTCTCACACTAAATGCTTTAATGTTCTTTACAGCAGGGACAAAAGCCATACTCTTTTGTAAGTCAGAACGTAGGCCAACTGTATTTTTAGGATTCTATTTCAGGGACTGGATGAGTGGTTACTTTAAAAAAAAATTTACATCTGTTCTCTACTACAGTTCAAAAAAAAAAAAGCTTTTTAAACCACTTATATTTTTGCCCCATTTAATATACAAATTCATAGAAAATAAAAAATAAATTAAAGGCTACACTAAGATAGCACAGGCAAACAAACGACAGCACAGCATAAAATTCTTAAAATATAAGATCTATAAATATTCAAGGCAACAATAAATTTAGTAAGGAAAATTGTTGGGGCTTGGGAGTTTGTTTATACATATTTAGTAGTTCATGCTTTTCAAAACCAAATTAATTTTTAAGGAAACTTCTGTTTAGAAATTCTATTATCGTAGTAGCTTTGATTTAGAATTTTTCTTAAAAGCCATTGGAGAAAAAAAAAACTTTTAAAAATAAGCAGATAATTTATGATGAAAATTTCAAAGCATCAAAAAAATAAATCAAATATATCAACAGTTTTTTAAAAAAGATTTATTCTTATTATGCAACACATATGCCTAATACATCATCAGCCTAACAGTAGGTCTTATTTACAAAGGCCATATCGCTTAGCTCAAGCCCATTAAATTAAGATCACAGTCCCAAAGGCAGCGAACACAAAGTCAGACCCATTTCTTTACTTGAATCTGCTAGAGATCTAAGGGCCTATTTGCCCGACTTCTACTACAATCAAATATATATGTTTATTGATAACAACCATTTAATGACTGACAACCATTTGGGCACTGTTCCAGTCCATTATATATGTTCCTTTTCCTTTATGAAGGTTCTATTTTGAAGAGGAAATTTAATAAAACATACCAGAAATGTTTAGATATATTTAGGCTTTCTTTCTGGAGGATGGGGGGGGGGGGGCGGGGGTTAGCAGTTTCTCTAAGGGCAAAAGATATGGAAACTCAAGAGATAAATCCAAACAATAAAGACATAACAGCATGCTCCCAGACAAAAGATGGGATTCCTGGATCCTTATTAGGAATTCCCGGTGAGGTTTTCATAGTTTCCCAAGCTTTACCTGCCTCCACATCACCTGAACATTATGGACATTCTGGCTTTCTGTACCTGTCTTACCACAAGGTGCAAGTAACTGAGAAAAAATGAACTTAGCAAACCAGAGTTTCCTCTAATAAGTGATGAGGTCTGTTATCTTTCACCTGGACCAACTTTAAGATTTCCCAAGGTCTAATCTATTTTCAATTTTTGATTAAATATAATACACATACTATAAAAATCCACCATTCCCCCCCTATTTTGGTAGTGTAGAATAATGAATCCAGGTCTCATGTATGCAAGGTAAAATCAACCCTTTTTCTTTTTTAATTAGTGAAACACCATGAGGTACAGTTGTAGGCTTACAAACTTTTGTGCTTGGGTTTCAGTTATACAACGATCGAGTACCCATCCCTCCACCAGAGCTCATTCTCCACCACCAATGATCCCAGTAGCCCTCCCACCCCCCACCCCATCCACTCCACCCCACCCTGCCTCTGTGGCAGGGCATTCCCTTTTGCTCTCTCTTTCCTTTAGGGTGTTGTAGTTTGCAACAGAGGCATTGAGTGGCAATCATGTTCAGTTTACAGTCTACTTTCAGCACGCATCTCGCATCCTGAGCTAGTCCTCCAAATTTCCTTTACTTAGTGCTCCCTTCTCTATCT